GGTCTCGACCCGCGCGTCCCGGAACGAAGCTGCCATTTGTAAGCTGTGAGTGATGAGCGTGTAAGTAGCATGAATCATTTAAGGGGAAAAAAAAAAAAAAGGTAAAACAAAAAGAAGGAAAATCCACGCCGGAGCAATTATAAGACGCTCCTGACAATTATTTTAGGAGTGGCTCTTAAAAGATTCCCTTAAGGAAGCTGCTCTTTCGCCTTGCTCAATAGGATAACCTTCAGCCCTTTCTGAGTTACTGTGTCCATAAATACTATTTGACTTGGAGAAAGTCTTACGAATGTATAAATTCAAATAAGTGTTCTTTCTAGACCCATCTTCCCGTCCTGAAGACCCCTCTGTAGCTTTAAAACGGATAGTTTGCAATGCAGAACGAGTCTGCTAGTAACCATTGCAAAACTAATGCTGTGTTAAAATGCGGTATATAAATAAACTGTACATACATTAGTGGCAGCGTAAAATCACTACTCTCAGACGTGCCAGCTTTCTGTGTGAGAGTGACAGACAGACGAAATAAAGGATACGTTTACAAAATGGGCTTTGCTTTCTGAATGAGGGCTTTGCATTGGCTGATGCAAATCGGCGTATTCGGCTAAGTCACTTACTTGGAGAAGTCCCCTACAGGAGCAACAGCAATTTAAAAAATGGAACAAACACCTGAGAACGCCCCTCAGCTATATCAGGAGACCTCGTTTCACTGTAGCTTGAGTCCTGTGCTTTCCTCTCCTTATTCCGTAGCCTATGCCAAACCTTCAGCATGTCTCAGGACTTCCAGAGGTTTTCTATCCAAGTTCTGCTAATTGCGTGTGGGGTGGGAAGGGTCATTGCAATTATGTAATGGCTCCCTCTAGCGTGCTAGCGATACTGCTGCATCTGGGGCATGTACTGGCTATGTGTGTGCACATACGGTGTCTCTTGGTTCCTTTCTGAGGGAGCAGGAAGGCACAAGCAGGTTAAAACAATAATTTCACTATTACAGTGGCATATAACGTATTTCTGACAGAGATTCTCATGGTGTACTTTTGTTAAAAAAAAAAAAAAAAAAGCCACAAAACCCAAGATGAATTTGACTTTTTGAGGAGGCTAGAGTCTCCAACACTTTTTCTCCTGCCTAGTGAATGCCTTTCTTATTTTATATGACTCAGCATTACACAATAAATACTCTGACTCCACAATGAAGTCAGTACATTTGAGGGCACTCTGCAGTTTGTAAAACAAGTACTCGGGACTCTGAACTAAGGGGAAAACTATATAACCCTTTATCCATGTAACTGGAGTCTTTGCTTGTAAAATCTGCCTTTTTTTATCAAACATCTTGCAGCTTACAACATCCCATTGATACCAACGACATGCATGGAATACTTAGAGGAAAAATAAAATCTGAATCACTAGCACTAGGTCTTCAAGCCTATGACTGAATACCACCTGATGACCATAAATGAAACACTTACCCCTTGCTCTACAAGTCACTGTGGTTTTTAGTGTTAACTTCAACAGAGCTACTTTTAATGCTCATTTTCAGGTATGGACGATTATTAGCGATTTCTCATGATTCACTGGAAATCATTGCATATTGACATCTTTAAAAACTGTGGCTCTTAAACCCAGTAGACTTAGGTGCCTAACTGGAAAAATCCAGACAAAAATATTATGCCTCAATATGAATATATACCTCTGTCAGACTGATGTTTTTTACATCAGACAGTTTATTACAACAGAATGGCATTTATTGATTTTAATCCACCTGTGCAAGTAATGAATATTTTATTTGTTCGATGATTTTACAGTATATCTAAAATGCTTTCTGTCAAATTTGTAGCACACTACATATTTGATAGTTTAGACTGGCATCAAAAGTTTCTATACATTCATCGGGAAATTGCTGTCTTCTTCACAGAGAAAAGTCAAATAAAATGCATGAAGGTAATGCCAGTGAGTGCCAATAATACCTATATGCTGTGCCATGTCACTGTCTATTGAATGTATAGTGTATATTTATTGGGAAAAAAGAGAAACAAAATAAAAACAAAATTTAAAAATGTTTATTACCAGCTTGGTGAAAAAGCTCTATTGCAGAGAGGCTAATACATAGACAAAATGCAAATCCTTGATAATAGGAATACACATATAGAAGGCTTACACTACCTGACAGATCAAGAAAAATACACTAAGTGCACTGTATAGGAGAAGCTCAACAAAGGAGCCAAGTCCAGCGTAAGAGCCCTAACAATAACGTATATATGAAGTGGTTAAAGTGTGCTTTGGAAAACTAAAATTTTCAATTCTTTAAATGTTTGTTTATTGGAAGCTCTAGACTGACATCAACCAAAATAACAGATATTAACAGGATACATCTCAAAACCAACTTTTCAAAAAATGCCGATTAATCATGAACAAAATACAACAGTATTCAGACTCTTTTGGGGAAATGCTCATAACAAAATCTAATAGTTTATTATTCTATCCTCAGCAAAGACAGGTAAACCATTCTACTTTCAAAAAAAAGGAAATAAGAAATATCCTCAATCAGAAGTGTTGAAATGAAGATCTTTAGTCTCATCATGGGGGGTACTTAAGCATAGCACTGAAGTCTGAGAACAAATATCCCTAAACAATTAAAAGAAAACAGGAAGGCAAGGAAAAGATCAATATCATTAAATGTCAAGGTTCAATATTTAAGTTATTTGAGCCTAAAATGTATCATTGGGAAAGCCCAAATCCAATCATCTTGAAAACAATAGAAAGAAGTAAAATTAGAATAGCCAAGGAGGGAATTTGAAGAACAAAGAATCCATATATAAGAGAATGAATTAGCTGTTAAAAACCAAGCATATACTTTACCAGTATGAGGAAGTCACGACAGAACTGGCAGGCCTATTAGTTGGCCAGCTATGAAAGAAACTATTGCAGAGAAATTAAATTTCTGTTCTCCAGTACTCATAGCAAATTAAGACATTTCCTCAGGTCAACTTTTTTTTAATACCAGAGATGAGATGTGGGTGTGTACTGAGGTGGCAACAGAGAGATTCTTAAAGCATCCAGCTAAATGGTAGTCATCAAGCATTATTACAGAATCTGAAAATGAAGTAAATGGACTGTTAAAAATATGCAGTCATTAAGATCAGTTACTATGTGTGAGGATTAAAAGGTACAAAATCTGTTTGTCTTTTAAAAGGACTAAAAGGGTGATCAAAGAATTACAGTGTGGCAAGCTTTACTTTTAGTACTAGGAAAATTAGTTAAAATGGCAATTAAAAATAGAAATTATATGTCATCTAGAGAAATGCAAGAGAAGTGGTGTCCAGAAACTCAATTAAATCAATAGAAACATTTCCATTGATTTGATTCATCCTGTAATAGTGAAGTAGCACAATTTGCATAGATTAAAAGGACATTTCTCCTGTTTATTAGTATTGTTTCAAAGTAGCAACAGAACAATAGATCAAATTACCTTTGTCACTCTGTATTTAAGCAGGTTTATGTCAATTTAGTGAATCCACACCAGCAAGACATGTAGAAGACAGGATAGTTGCTGAGAAACGGAAGAAGAAATGGCAGTGCAGTAGGTAAAGACAAGAGAAGGTAAGTGTCTGCAAATGATGTTAGTGGACTAATAGAGGGGCAGGAGCCAAGAAGAGAAATAGGAAATGGGAGCTGAAGGCATAGGGCTATTTAAAAATTAGTAGGAGATAAGCCTAACATTGTCACTGAAACAGTTGAGACCTACTTCTTCTATCTAGCTGGGAAGTATTACATTTACAGTTCTACCCGCGTCATTTTGGAAACAAACAAACAAACACGAAGATTCATTAGGCTTACAGAAAGGGTGATTTGTTAGGCCACAGATAAGTGGCTTAGGACTTGAATTCTCATGCCTCTTTGAGGCATGTTATCTAATGACTCTTTACAGAATACAGAAACATTTTCTTTCTTTTGTTACAGTGAAAACAGGACACACTGAGATCAAACTCAGCATGTTTCAAACAGATTAAGTAGAAGTTTTCTTAATGATTTAAAAAAATAAAGCAATTTATTTAAGAGCAATCAAACTAATGAAAACCAGTTTCCTACAGGTGTGTCTTTTAATTTTCCCACTGCCACTACTACCAGCTTCCTCTTGTGTCTTCAGTGGTGGTTACCCTGCAGATGTGAGTGGCTGGCTGAGAGGGACATGCTGCTGGGCCAGGCAGCAGCTGCCTGGAAAGGTAAAACAGCTACTTTTCATTCTCTCAGGATATCAGTTTATCTCCCATACATACCCACCAACTGGAATGAAGTTTAAACTATGATCACCTTTGAAGCATCTACCCCACTTGCAAATTTGATAGAAATTGTCCAGTAGTTCACAAAGTTACTGGGCAGAACAACTGAGACACACTCAGGTAATGGTCAAGTGTGCTGTTTGTTTACTTACATAGCCTCCTTTAAAAGAATCCTGGAACATTAAAAATTAAAGCATTTGGGCCATTTTATTATAATATGACTCTAATGCTAGGGGTATGATATGGCACAGTAATATGGTCATATGATACCACTTGGCATGTTGTCATAATGCACTGATTACTACCAGTAAGACAGGAATATACCGTGTAAGTATAGACATTAGATTTTGTAATATAGAATAGACAATATTTGCATTTTCAAATAAAGGATATTCTCTGAAGCATTTAGAAACTTTTCTGAAGCAAATATTTTATGGATTTTTTTTTTAAACCTGGCAATTTTTGCTTGCATGGTAAATTGCATTAAACCCTATAAAGATCAGCAGTTTGTTTTGTTTCACTGAATAATGAAGTACTTTGCTGATGAAAATCTGTTTTGTGAATTATTAGTGGCAAATTTTTTAGAGATTAGAGCATACACATCTTTTATTATTATAATTATTTAAATATTTGT